CACGAGATCAGAACCCTTTGACTTTGGTGGTACTTCGCCATTTCTGATCGCGTTGTTCACTTCGTTGACATGTTCAGTGAGTCGTTCACTGTGAAGAGTTGTAGCATTAGCGTCTAAAGCATATGTTCTGGTAATGTTCATATGACTTTCGTTGATTTCAGCAAAAATTCGTCTTAAATCGTTGACAGGCAGGTTCTGTAGATATGATAGGGCTTGACTTTGTTCCTGTGGCGTGGGCTTTTAAGCCATAGGGACGGTAATTAAAAACCGGTCAAGAAGACCATGTCCTTTGTCCATCCTGTGAATCATGGTGGCAGCATGAGGTATTTGGGTTGCCCCAAGGATGCAGAAGGGAGTGTTGGCGTCGATGGAACGCATTCCTTGAGTGGCAAAATGGTACGCAGATGATTCGCCGCTCCACAACTTGCAAAGGAGTTGGACATCACCAGTAGAACTGTCATCATCGTTCTTGAGGAGTTTGTTGAGAATGTTAAACACTTCTGGAGATGCCATGAACGCCTGATCTTTTTTGGCGAGAGTGTTAATCATTCCTGCCGAAGTCGCGGAGCTCAGCAATGTCTCTTTTGAGAGACATTCATTACTTTCAAGAGCGTCGATAATGCTCTCAACAGCTGGCGATTTCCCTGTACCAGGATAGCCRACGAAGATCGTGTAGAGGTTCAATGGCTGCAGGTGGTTCCCAATCTGTATACGTGAATCTTTCGTCGCGAGAAGATACGATGTGGCTGTTAGAAGTGACGGTATGAAGTATCTTACAGAAGAGCCCATGGATTTTGCCTTCTGCTCGATGAATTCATAAACTGTCTCTGGGAAAAGCGTAGAATAATCTACAGRCATTGTAGCAACCCTTCTATGGADCRAGGCCCAAGTTTTTTCATTTTGACGAGATATTTTCAGGAGTGGATTAGACATGTTGACAATATGTAGTCTGAAAGAAAAGTGATTTTGTGCTCTACTGCGGGTAGGGTTAACTTTAAATGTCTTTGTTATAAAAAATACAGAGGTGAGAGGGGCTATCACTTTTCATACATTAATGAGTGAAGAAAAGAATTGTGGCAGATTTTGAATTAAGTCAAAAACAAAATGGTGGGAACTAGTGGTAAACTAGCGTGAGCTGTGTCGGTGTTTCTATAGGAGGAGTTGTGTAAAAAGATAAATCTGACATCGTAAAAATGTAGGAGAAAAAACTTAGTGACGTTACGGACGATAATCCTTCGTCGGAGTAAAGAGATGGTACTTGGTAAAGTGCTAGTTTTCATAATGAGAGTAGCCAAGAAAGTAGACCAATAGGAGCAAGGTAGGCATGGTAACGGTATATAAACAGTAAAAGCAAGAGAAGTGTCAGACAAAAGAACAATAAAGGTGCTAAAAAGAGAACAAAAGATAATAAAATTATCCGAAAACAAAGCGTTCATTCAACCCATTTCTTTGGTTTTCAAAGACCAACCAAGAACAATAAAATTACAAAGTGAGTGGTTGGGTAAGTGGCGGGAAACATGTTAATATCGTTGTGACGAATATTAAAAAGATATGTCTCTCCGACATACTAAAGAAAATGAAATGATATTTGAACGATGCTTAAGGATGGGGGACGTAAGGCTTTGCGCTGTTGTTGTTGTGGTGTTAAAGCATGATAGACGCTTTGTCATTTTATAGTATTTTATTTCATACAATAACGAAACTTAAAAGTTGATGAGAGTTTACTATTCACAATGTCAATGGACTTCGCTCTAGGAGTCACGAGTAATTTAGATATACATGAGTATACTGAATTGTTATATACATTCACATGATGAAATATAGACAGCCAATTTGCATTGTGTTATGATATTTCAGTGTCGATAAACATTAAAGAACAATATATGAAAGTTGAAAAATAGTCGACTACTGCTTGACTGTTCTATTGATGTTTGGGCCCGTAGTTGCTATATAATTTCAAAGTTTAAAAGTGCTGTTTAGATAAATGTACATTCTGTGTTGTAGGTCAAAGTAGAACCAACGATGTTGATACTTTTCAACGTTTTTGGACAACCAGACCAGCTGAGAGATTCTAGTTTTCATTGTTTTATTGCCGGCATGACATATCTGAGAAGAGAGTACCCATTGTGCGAAAAGTTCAGAGGGACATCCATTTCCTTTGAAGAAGCAGAATAATTGAAATGTCTGTCTATCACTTATTGTTTTTTTCCAGAACAACCTCTTGATCCATTTAGGCCATAGAGCTGCATTAAAAAAAACATCCCCATCAAGCAAATGAAACAGGCGTTGTCGTTCGGCAGTATAAGATAGTGAAGTTAGCGATTCGCAGTATTCTGACAGTTTGTTTGGGTGTAGAGCACTTTCAGTGTAATCCATTGATGAGTGATTAGAATGCCCATTGTTTCGTGGACATATTCAAATTAGCCGCCCCAAAACAATGGCCCCGAAATAAATTGCTTTAATTGGCTAAACTTATCACGTGAATGGTTAGGAGTCTTGTCAATCATATGATGATTGAATAAATATACATCGAACGCGTATCACTGATAGCTTGAATTATTACGACAGGCCGGGTTTTCAACGTCTCTCTTTGAAGGATTTTCAGTAAACCAAAACAACTCTTTTCATCATTGATTTTGTAAATTCCGATGCAAAGTTTAAAYGGCATCAAAGCTTTATTCACAGTCATGAATGCTTTAAAGTCTTGCGCTAAAAGAAGATTCGAATAACTAAATAAAGGCCTTTTTATGGTTAGMTTTCGCGCTAAAAGGCAGATATTGTTTGATTATAATTTTGTGATCCTAACAAGCACAGATTGTCCTACGTCTTCTACGCAGTAAATAAAAGCCTAAAAGTGTAGGTTTAACTTGCGTGCTCCTGAGAACACTGTTTATATGTTGTGTTTTTCATAGAACAACTTACGAGCTGTTATTTGAATGAACTACAAATTGAGGTTACCTAAACGCCGAGTTAGGATCTCGAGTTGGATCTCGAGTTGGATCTCGAGTTGGATTTCGAGTTGGATCTCGAGTTGGATCTCGAGTTGGATTTTTAGCAGGATTCTGAGTTTTCTATAAAACACGGTATTAAAAAAAAATGTAACTAAGACTAGTGATCAGCACTACGGAGAACTGAATAGTTGCAAACTTTTTTATTTTTCTCGTTACTAAAGTTATTGTGATTTCGACTGTAGTTTTGGGGGCCATGCATGCGATTAATTTTTAAAAACTCTTGAAAATGACTTAAACTTGCTCAAACGTTAAACTTCAGCCATCTTATATGTGCTTTATCTATCAACAACTTATTTTTGAAGTTTGGCAGCATCAGTCCCAGTYTGTTTCACAAAAGTTTGCTTATATATTTATAATTATTATAATTTTGATACATTCAACATAACTAACTTGTTACTGACTGATTGTTTGATTCTAAACCTCTCCTTTTGGGAATGGCTGTAATAAACAACTCTATTGTTTTCTGAGATTTGATCAGTTTATAAGCGTACAGACCATAGCATAAAACACCTACAATTAAGGGTCCTGACTACTTAGAGGACTGTTCGTATTACTGTGAAACGAACGTTGCCGTGCTGTGACCTTGTCGTAATATATATATTGAACAACATTCGGAAAAGCTGCCGTGTTTTGATTGTCAAGCGAAAAACTCTCTATAATTTTCGTTTGTGCTGTGCCATGTTGTTTGCACACTCATGCTAAACATGAATAGGAATTCAACTGGAATTAACATCGATTTCACACTGTATCGTTATTTTTACCACAAAAAATGGTGTCAAAAATGTCACCTCAACTAATCTCAAATGTCTCAGGACCACTAACAAAATGACAACCAAAATTGAGTGAAATTAAATAAAATATTAAATAAAATATTAAAATAAATTAAATATTACACTCGTTGTAAACAAACAATATATACAACAGAAGAGAATTTTATGACCTTCAACTATCCACTTACTATACGACCAACAGTAAAAAAAGCGAAAAATCTGAATAGCACATATCGATAACTGCTACGCACTGTATTACGCCATGTCCTCTTAATTGGACTKGGCACRTTAAGTTCCACGTAGTGGTTCTCATCAAAGAATAAGAATACAAAAAGAAAAGTGCATAGTCCCGAGCTCATTTTTGAGATTATTAACTTTGAATGAGACCATGTTGTGATGTTTTCTAACAAACAATTGCGACAAATTCGTTTTTCTCAATGACTCTCATGACTCAATAATTATTGAAGATATACCAATKTTAACTAAAATCCAACCTTGAAATCCAACTCAAAATCCAACTTGAGATACAACTCGAGATCCAACTCAAAATCCAACTCAAAATCCAACTCGAGATCCTAACTCGGGGTTTAGTTTATCTCCTACAAATTGACTACAATATAAAAACTTTTATTACTAATGAAAAACAGTGCTTATTACTAATGAAAAATAGTGCTGTCGTGAGGTTAGTTATGAGTAATAGGACGCCGATAGATAATGTTCTTTTCATCATCTTTGTGCTGTAGAAGCCTTGTCTTCGTTCCTACGGTTAAAAGAATTGTTTTTTAGTTGAGTATCATTCGAGCAATAAATCATTGGACTCTGCTCGTATTCTCTGTGCACCTCTCGGGCAATGAG